CGCCGCTGCAGCTGCACCTGGCCACTACAAGAAGCTCCCGTCGGGTCAGCTCCAAGGCGACTACCACTACGACCGCCGCCACAACCCTACCTAGCATACCACACACGAAGCTGCTGGGGCATGAAGGACTCACACGAACGCCGCTGGAGCTGCATCTGGCCACCGCCAGAAGCAGTAGTAGTTGCAGCAGGAGTAGTAGCTGTAGGAACAGCGGGCAGGGTGGCGCAGCTCGGCAGAGCGGCGCGGCTCGGCAGAGCGGCGCGGCTCGGCAGGGTGGCGCGGCTCGGTTGGGTGGCGCGGCTCGACAGGCAGACCGCGCTGGCCAGCGCAGCGGTAAGGCGGGTGCGCGGGTAGTGACGAGAAGTGAGAATGGATGAATAAACTATAAATCAGTTGGGTACAAGTACTAACCCTAATTGGGTTGTACCCCTTATGGGCTACCCCACTACAGCCTACACAAATGTATAAGCTATAATGTACTAACACACCCCCATAGGTAAAGTGGTGGAGAACAAGCGGACACAAGATCAGACAAGCAAAGCAAAGCAAGCTCAAGGTAGATCACAAAGTCACCACACAGTCCGAGCACAAGAGTAAGGCCACAAGGCCAGTTCATATGCAAGAACATATATATAAAGGCAAAAAGGCAAGTGCAGGTATAGAAAGAGTACAGTACAAACAAGATCAAGAAGTGAGCCCAGGTAGGCACAAGACCTAGCAAAGTATAGAATCACTGATGATCACAAGGCGGAAGGGCCTTGGTGAAGATATCAGCAGTGTTGGCCTCAGAGGCCACGTAGGTGAGACGGAGCTGACCACGCTGCTGCAGCTCACGAGCCAAAAGTAGCGGAGAGTAATGTGCTTCGTTCTGTGCTCCAGCCTGTGCTCCCGACACAAGGCCAGCATGGCCTCGTTGTCTACGTACAGCACTGGAGGAGAACGAGGCGGCTCTCATTGGTCAGTCAGCAAGTAGGTGAGCCAGCGTAGCTCCTGTGCAGCCATGGCCCCTGCGTAGATCTCAGCCTCATAGCTAGAGCTGAGAACAGAAGACGAGCGGGTAGACCGCCACAAAACAGAGCCGGAGCCAAGGCTGAAGGTGTAACCCTGTGACCACCGCTGTGTCGGCTGGCCGTCAGCCCAAGATGCGTCAGTGTGACCTGTGAGGACTACTCGACGTCGCCCTCCAAGCACTAGTCCCATGCCCGACGTACTGCATACGTAGCGCAACACCCTCTTCGCTGCAGCCATGTGCTCTAGTCTGTGTCTCCTAGGAGCAACATAGCGTGCCAAGATGCTAAGAGGGTATGCAAGGTCAGGTCGTGTGCAGGTCATCAGGTACATGAGGCAGCCAACAAGCTCTGGGTACGGGCCACTCGACTCTACGGACTCATCCGAAGGCAGAGCTCAGAGCAAGTGGCGAGAAGACAGAGGAGTGGCCTGAGGCGAGGAGAGAAGGTGTGAAAGTAGTCAACTCCCTGCCGCTGACTGAAGCCTCGAGCCACGTAACGCGCCTTGAAGACAGGCGGAGAACCCGGCGGCCGCTTCACCCTGAAAATCCACATGCCACTGACGATGTTCGCCCCAGGTGGGGGAACTCGTCAACGTAGGTGCCTGTGGACTTCCAAAAAGCCATCTCGGCGTCCATGGCCGACTGCCGCTGAGAGGAGTAGGGACCCTCCATCGCCTCAGCGTACGATCGAGGAGTCGGGATGTCTCGTGCATCTGGGTCTCTCTCTGGGGCAATCAGCGTGGACACGAGATGGGGCAAAGCAGCCGCAAAGCACTGGAACTCCTCCTGCCTGTCCTTAAGGACGTCCGTGCTAAGAGCACACTCCCCCCCGACGGACGGAGGACACACAGACTCAGACTCTGCAACGAGTCTTGCAGCATAGTCTAGACGACAGCGAGCAGCAAAGTCAACAAGCTCAGCAACTAGAGCAGACGCAGCAGTGGACTCAAACGAAGGGTCGATGACAACTGTAGCAAGAAGGCGCGTGACCGAAGGACTAGCAGCACGAAGGGAGTCAAACTCTGTGTCAGCAAGAGAAGGAAGAGAGGACTCTGGAGGAGACGGCAACGGGACACGCAGAGGAGCAGTGGAAGGACGCAATGCCATCTGGTGTGTGCCAGGGACCGCAGGAGGACGCAGACGAGCAGCATGACGACTAGTGCGAGCAGCACAAACACGCAACGCAGGACAATACGCAGGCTCACGACGCTCAACAAGACCTCCAGTAGGACCAGTGTAGGGAGAAGGAGCAGGTAGCGGGGAGGCGGGCTGTAACTGTGACTGCGACTAGACAGGCTATGGACACTCTAAGGGAGGAGCAAAACCAGGATAGGGCAGGAGACCAAGAACCTGCTCCAGGAGCAGAACGAAGTACGCCCTCAGCCGCACAGCGCCTCCAGAACCAGCAAGGACGGCACCAGTACCCCCATCGGCCGCACCACCGCCAACAGCACCTCCAGCTCCAACAGCTCCAGCAAGTCCAGTACCCTCCGAAGCACTTGCGCCAGCAACACCGCCAGCCCCAACACCCCCGGTAGCTCCAGCTCCAGTAGCACCAACTCCAGTAGGACCGTCAGCACCAGCAGCTCAAGCAGCACCCCAAGACTCAGCGGCACGTCTCCAGCGGCGGGCGAACCACTCGCCCAGCTCCTGTGGGGAGACCGGCTCCCGTCTCGACGAAGCACCGCCGGCGGCCACACGAGCAGACCCAGCACCCCCAGGCTTCGTACCCCCACGCACATCACCTTCAGGCTCAGCACCCCCAGGCCCAGCACCCCCAGTCTCAGCACCCCCAATCTCAGCACCCCCAGACTCAGCACCCCCAGACCCGGCACCCGCAGGTTCAGCACCTCTAGCAGCACCAGAGTTAACAGCTACCTCGACAGGCCATATTGCATCTACCTGAGATACAGCTAACAGGGCAGGACCCTGAGGGGGGAGGGGGTCTACCTGGGGAGGACCTGGCGCAAGGAAGAGCGGCGAAGGGGGGAGGGGCGCAGTGCGGTAGGGGAAGAGACGGTAGTAAGGCACCGACTCGTCAAAGGTGACGTCGTGGGAGGACAGAACACGGCGCGAGGTGGGGTGGTAAAACTGCCACCCATGCGCGTCAGGGGGGAAGCCAAGGAAGACGCAGGTAACAGCACGGGGGGACAGCTTGTTCGCAGACAAGTCGCGGACAAACGCCCGAGATCCCCAGACCCGAAACGCAGACGCATCGCCAACCTTCCATGTCCAGCGCAAGGCGGGGGAGGTCTCAGGCAAGGAGACCCGGGGCTGAAGGTTGAGCTGATGCCCGGCATACTGAACCGCAAACGGCCACAGAAAATGGGGGGCAGCCGCATGCATCATGGACGTACGAGCGACGTCCATGACCATGCCCATGCGGCGCTCAGCAATCCCATTTTGCTGTGGAGAGGCCGGAAGCGTGAAGGTCTGGCGGATGCCCTTTGCTCGACAAAAGGCTCCCAGACGGGCAGAGGAAAACTCCCCGCCTCGGTCAGAGTGCAGACGCAGAACAGGAAAGTCCGAGCCGAAACTCTCTTTGAGCTTAGGACGAGCCGCGCGGATCCACTCGATCAACACCTTAGTGACGTCACCCTAGCTGCGCAAGGGGGAGACTGTGGTGTAACGCGAGTAGTCATCAACCACCAACAGGAAGGAACTCTGGTGACCCTGTCCACGGATGCGGGCGGGGCCCCACACGTCCATGTGGAGCGTCTGCAGTGGAGCCTCTGTCGGAGGAAACTCGGAGGAGTGAGGAGCAGCGCGCTGTCGCCCCTCGACGCAGGGGACGTAGGTAGGGCCAGGCCCCGGAGGTAGGGGAGGGAGAGACCGGGGGAGACCAGAGACATGGACACGGGAGGCCATGCCTCGGAGAGGAGGCAGGGAGGGGTGACCAAGGCGGTGGTGCCAAAGGAGAGTATGGTGGGACACGAGACGACACGAGCAGGGAGCAGACTCAGGACCAGACCTGGACGCTGCAGCAAACACCTGAGTCGACGCAGCTACCTGGCCAGACTCAGCAGCCGGAGGAGACTCAGTAGAACGGGTGTACAGGCTCGACCCTGGCCGACGGATGAACGTGTCCAAGTGTCAATCTATCCGAGCATACGTGGAGTGGGTCACCCGCTGACTCGCACCAGTGAACTGGTCAACCCCCCTATCGTATAGGTCCGCTCCACTCACCAAGTTCGTAGAGAACGAGGGGAGGTAGAGACCTGACAGGGTGCCAGTGGGGGCTGCCGGGCACGGTAAGACAGTGGAGAAGCTAGCAAGGACAGGACCCCCTGAGGGGTCGCCAGGAAGACTGCAACCGGCAGAGTGAGCGGCGAAAGAGTGGTGCGGTCTCGAAGGAAGGAGCGGGACGCACCCGAGTCCAGGGTGAAGGTGTGGAAGGCCTGAGCCGACGTAGTACCTGAGAGAGCAGACTCACCAGCACCTTGGGCGGCAGACGCACCGGCACCTGGGGCAGCAGACGCACTAGTACCTAGAGCAGCAGCCTCACCAGCACCTAGAGCAGCAGCCTCAATGCCCGGGTTAGGCGGTACACACAGTTTACAGTCACTGGCAAGACTAGAATCAACAGCATACATGGCCGCAAGGATAGCATCAAATTCAAGATCAAAGATAGCAACCCCGGCCTTAGCCAGATCTCCCCAGTGAGGGATCTCTAACGCCTCAGGGAACTGGCGACGCCACGCGTCCGTCACAGGACCAAAGCAGCGCTGGGTGGAGTGCGGGCCCCCGCGTTGCTCATTAGCACGATCGCCGGTACGCAGGACGTAGGTACAGTGACTAGTACCCCCACCTCGCTGATGCCCAGCGTACCAGTCACGAAGCTGCTGGGGGGACAGGTTCTCACAAGTACGCTGGTGCTGCTCGCACTGACCACCACCGGCGCCACTCCTTTGCGCAGACTCGCGACTCGCTCCACCACCGCCGCCTCCGCCGCCGTCGCCGCCTATGCCGCCTCCACCCCCTCCTCTGCCTCCTACAGGGTGCTAGTGGGGGCTGCGGGGCACGGTAAGACAGTGGAGAAGCTAGCAAGGATAGGACCCCCAGAGGGGTCCGCCAGGGAGACTCCAGCCGGCCGACTAAGCAGCGTAAGCATGGTGCGGTCTCGAAAGAAAGAGCAGGACGCACCCAAGTCAAGGGTGAAGGTGTGTAAGGCCTGAGCGGGCGTAGTACCTGAGAGAGCAGACTCACCAGCACCTGGGGCAGCGGACGCACTAGCACCTGGGGCAGCAGACGCACTAGCACCTAGAGCAGCAGTCTCACCAGCACCTAGAGCAGTAGCCTCAATGCCTGGGTCCGGCGGTACACAAAGGTAACAATCACTCTCAACACTAGTAGTCACAGCCTACATGGCAGCAAGGATAGCATCATATTCAAGATCAAAGATGGCAACCCCCGCCATAGACAGATCTCCCTAGCGAGGGATCTCTGACGCCTCAGGGAACTGGTGACGCCACGCTTCCATCTGGCGGCCGAAGCAGCGCTGGGTGGAGTGCGGGCCCCCGCACTGCTCACCAGTGGGGTCGCCAGTACGGAGGACGTAAGTGCAGGGACCAGTACCCCCACCGCGCTGACGCTCAGTGTACCACTGACGAAGCTGCTGAGGGGATAGGGTCTCATGACCGCGCTGCTGCTACTCGCGCTTACCACCACCGGACCCACTCCTCTGCGCAGATTCGCGACCCGCTCCACCGCCGCCGCCGTTGCCGCCTCCGCCGCCTCCGCCACCTCTGCCTCCTCCGCCACCTCTGCCGCCTTCGCTCCCTCCGCCACCACCGCCGCCTCCTCCGCCTCCACTGCTGCCATCGCTGCCTCCGCCCCCGCCACCACTCCCACCACCACCCCCAGTCCCTCCACTGCCTACACCACCACCTCCACCGCCCCCGCTAGCCCCTCTAGTTCCCTTGCCCCTTTTGCCCTTGCCGGTGCGGCGTCTCCCGCTAGGGGCTGACGCAGCACTGACCCCGTAGAAACCAACGAGGGCGGCAGCAGCAGCAGAAGCAATAGAGGGCAAGAGGGGGGAGGGGGAACACCCCTCAAAGACGGGGGTGGGAGGGTCACCACCAGAGGCTCCTACAGCTACTATACTGTCCTCTACTGCTAGGAGGCGCTGCTCGAGGAGGTCAACGGTGAGAGTGGTGGGGCAAACTGAGAGGAAGTGATCCCTAACTAAGCGAAGAGAGTCAGGGAGCTGGGTGACTATGTAGTAGAGGGTGATGTACATGGGGGGGGGGGGGGGGGGGGGGGGGGGTCTTGGCGCAGAACTCAGCAAGAAGCGCAGCGCGGGTAGCGAGTGTCACTAGTGCGGAGGTGCGTAATGAGGTCATCGACTGTGGGAAAGGCAGCAAGGTCAGCGAAGAGGTACGGTAGCATAAGGCGGCTCAGTATAGTAGTGGCAGGGGAAGAGTAGCGTGCAACTACAGCATCGTACAAGGTCTGAGTACTCTTGTACTGGCTAAAGTGTGCACGCTCAGTGGTCGGTAAGTGGCGACGCACAGCAAGACGGGCAGCAGCATTGCGTGTCGCCCACTGTGAGTGAACACTGTTGTCAGCAGTAGCAGGCGGGGCAGGGGAGGCACCAGAGGTGAGGTCGAATAGAGAGAGGATGTTTGCCCTATCGCACTGGAGGAAAAGGTGGAGGTCATCGATCCAATCCTCAAAGTCAACAGCACGACCCTTAGTGTAAAAGGTAAGAACATTGGGGGTAGCCATGACTGCAGAGGTCTAGCAAAGAGTGAGCTAACAAGTACGGGTAAGGAGGGCCGGTGCGCGCCGGTAGGACTGGTAGCAGCTCGACGGCAGGGCGGCTCGGCGGCTCAAGTGCTGAGCGGCTCGGCTGTCGGGCGGCTCGGCGGTCAGCTGCTGGGCGGCTCAGTGGCTCGGCTGTTGGAGGGCTTGGCTGCTGGGTGGCTCGGCTGTTGGGCGGCTTGAGGACTCTGCTGTTGGGCGGTTCGGCTGTCGAGCGGCTTGGCGGCCCTGCTGCTGGGCGGCTCGGCTGCTCTGCTGCTGGGCGGCTCGGCGGCTCTGCTGCTAGGCAGCTCGGTAGGGGCGGCTTGGGGCCATTTAGGGACGGCGATAGAGCCGTGTAGGGGCAGCCACGGGGCCGCTTCGGGTCAGCGACGGGGCTGCTTAGGTGTGGTGACGGGGCCGCTTAGGGTGAGAGGCGGCGACGGGGCTAGCAGGGGTGGCGACGGGGCCGCTAGGTGCGGCAACGGGGCCGTGTATGGGAGGCGACGGGGCCGCGTAGGGTGAGGGGCGAAGATGGGGCCACTGGACTTGGCGACGGGGCCGCTAAGGGCGGCGATGGGGCCGCGGAGGGGCGGCGACGGGGCCGCGTAAGGGCGGCGACGGGGCCGCGCAGGGTGAGAGGCGGCGATGGGGCCGCTAGGGGCAGCGACGAGGCCGCTAAGGGCAGCGCCGGGGACGCGGAGGGACGGCGACGAGGCCGCTAGGGGCGGCGACGGGGCCCCGTACGGTGAGAGGCGGCGACTGGGCCACTAGGGGCGGCGACGGGGCCGCTAAGCGCGGCGACGGGGCCGCGGAGGGGCGGCGACGTGGCCGCTAGGGGCGGCGACCTAGCCGTCAAGGGTGGCGACGAGGCCGCTCAGGGGCGGAAACGGGGCCGCGCGAGGGGCGACGACGAGGCCGCTAGGGGCCACTAGGGGCCGGGAAAGGGCAGCAAAAAACGCCCCTCTGGTAGGAGCGATTGGCGCTCCGGTCAGAAGGGAAGTTTTCAGTGGTGGGCCCAAGGTAGCGTTCCCACTAGGGAACCTGCTCTATACCATGTGAAGAATGAGGAATGAATGAACTAGCAAGCAGGTGGGTGCAAGTAGGAAAACCATCGCCACCTTCCAGCGGCCGCGTCGCCGTGAGGAAGTGTTGTACCCCATATTGTCTACCCCACTATAGCCTACACAGACTATAGTGTAACAGTTTGACAATTTGGTTCCTTATATCCTTATCAAGTCTATCTATCTTCTCCTTCAAATCTTTCTTCATTCTTAATTACTCCATAATTCCAAGATTTCCTTTCAACTTGTTTTTGCGTTTCAACTTGGTTTACTTTGATCTTACCTTTTCTTTCTATGGTTTTTCTTTCTTTCTCCTTACCATTTACCCGCTTAGGGGCAGCGACGGGGCTGCTTAGGTCTACCCCCAGTATTCTCGCTTTTGACGCTGAGGGTCGGGCCATTGACTTTGAGGTATGGGTAGATGACCTACAGCTTTTCCTACAGTGCGATAGGGCAGACGGTCTCTCCCTCTTTGACCTCACCTCTAGCGCCTCTCCTGCCCCTGCTGCTGACGCTGACGCCACTGTTCGCTCCCAGTGGGCCATGCGTGATGCTGCTGCACGTCTTGCTGTGCGTCGCCACCAGCCTACCACTGCGCGCGCGCACTTTAGTCAGTACAAGAGTGCTCAAACCTTGTACGACGCTGTAGTTGCGCGCTACTCTTCCCCTGCCACTACTGCACCGAGCCGCCTAATGCTACTGTACCTCTTCCCTGACCTTGCTGCCTTTCCCACAGTCCCTGACCTCATTACGCACCTCCGCACTAGTGACACTCACTACCGCGCTGCGCTTCCTGCTGAGTTCTGCGCCAAGAACCCCCCCCCCCCCCCCCCCATGTACATCACTCTCTATTACATAGTCACCCGGCTCCCTGACTCTCTTCGTGTAGTCAGGGACCACTTCCTCTCAATCTGTCCCACCACTCTCACTGTTGACCTCCTAGAGACGGCCCTCCTAGCAGCGGAGAAGAGCATCGTCGCTGTAGGAGACTCTCGTGGTGACCCGCGCACCCCCATCTTTGAGGGGTGTTCCCCTTACCCCCTTTTGCCCTCTGTCGCCTCTGCTGCTGCGGCCGACCTCGTTGGTCTTGAGTCGGTCGGTGCGGCGTCTGCCCCTAGCGGGAGACGCCGCTCTGGCAAGGGCAAGGGGGGCAGGGGCGCTGGCGGAGCTAGTGGGGGTGGTGGAGGTGGCGGTGGAGGCGGCGGAGGGAGTGGGGGTGGCGGTGGGAATGGTGGCGGGGGTGGAGGTGTCGGTGGCGGCAGTGGAGGCGGAGGCGGCGGAGGCGGTGGCGGTGGGAGCGGAGGCGGCGGTGGTGGCGGAGGTGGAGGAGGCGGTGGTGGAGGAGGTGTAGCTGGTCGGGGTGGTGCTACGCAGCAGAGCGGCTCCGGGGGTGGTCAGCGCCAGCAGCAGCAGCAGCGTTCTCGGGACATCTCCCCCCCTCACCAGCTCCGTGAGTGGTACAGGCAGCGTCAGCGTGGTGGGGGTTTTCACCCGTGCACCTACGTCCTTCGCTCTGGCGACCGCGCGGGTGAGAAGTGTGGGGGTGCCCACTCCACCCAGCGATGCTTTGGCCGCCTCACGGACGCTTGGCGTCACCAGTTCCAGGAGGCTGCTCAGATCCCCTACTAGGGAGAGCTGTCTAGGGCAGGTGTCGCTATCTATGATCTTGACTTTGATGCTATCCTTGCTGCCATGTATGCTGTGACTATTTGTGATGTGGGTGACTGTTACTGGTGTTTCCCGCCCGACCCGGGCATTGGTACTGCCCCCTCGGGTGCTAGTGAGGCTGCTGCTCTAGGTGCCAGTGCGTATGCGCCCTTAGGTACTGGTGAGTCTGCGCTCTCAGGTACCACGTCGGCTTCGGCCTCCCTCACCTTCACACTTGACTCAAGGGCTTCGCGCTCCTTCTTTCGAGACCGCACCACACTCACGCCGCTTGGTCGGCCGGTTGCAGTCTCCCTGGCAAACCCCTCTGGGGGTCCTGTCCTTTCTCACTTCTCCACTAGCCTCCCATGTCCGTCTGCCCCCTCAGGCACCTTGTCTGGTCTTTACTTCCCCTCATTCTCTACGAACTTGGTGAGTGGTGCTGACCTACAGGATGCGGGGGTTCACCAGTTTACTCCTGCGAGTCAGCAGGTGACCCACTGCTCGGAGGCTCGCATAGGCCGACACCTGGCCACGTTTACGCGTCGGCCGGGATCGAGCCTCTACAACCTGACCACTGGGTCTCCTCCTGTCCTTGCGTCTGGCCAGGTAGCTGCGTCGGGTCAGGTGGTTGCTGCGGTGTCTAGGTCATGTCCTGAGTCTGCCCCCTGCTCGTGTCGCCTCCTGTCTCACGAGACTCTCCTGTGGCACCACCGTCTTGGTCACCCCTCCCTACCTCGTCTCCAAGGCATGGATTCCCGTGTCCTTGTCTCTGGTCTTCCCCGGTCCCTCCCTCCCCTTCCTTCTGGACCTGGTCCTTCCTGCGTCCCCTGTGTCGAGGGGCGCCTATGGGCTGCCCCTCACTCCTCTTAGTTTCCCCTGACAGAGGCCCCGCTGCAGACGTGTGGGGCCCAGCCCGCGTCCGTAGACAGGGTCACGAGCCCTACTTTTGGTTGGTGCTTGACGACTACTAGCGTTACACCATAGTCTTCCTCTTGCCGACCCTGAGTCGGACTCTCTTCGTGCTGCGAGTCCTACTCTCACGCGTCTTCTTGCTACTGTCGTCACTGCCCCCTCTTTTGAGTCCACTGCTGCGTTTGCTCTTGTTGCTGAGCTCGTCGACTTTGCTGCTCGCTATCGTCTAGACTACGCTGCTAGTCTTATTGCTGAGTCTGTCTCTGTCTGTCCTCCTTCCGTCGGGGGTGAGTGTGCTCTTTGCACGGACGTCCTTGAGGACAGGCAAGAGGAGTTCCAGTGTCTGGGTGCTGCTTCACCTCATCTCGTGTCCGTACTGCTTACCCCTGAGGGAGACCCGGATGCACTTGACATCCCGACTCCGCGCTCTTACGCGGAGGCCGTAGAGGGTCCCTACTCCTCTCATTTGCAGGCAGCTATGGATGCAAAGATGGCTTCCTAGAAGTCCACAGGCACCTACGTTGACGCGGTTCCCCCACCTGGGGCGAACATCGTCAGTGGCATGTGGATCTTCAGGGTGAAGCGGCTGCCACGTTCTCCACCTGTCTTCAAGGCGCGGTACATGGTTCGTGGCTTCAGTCAGCGGCAGGGAGTTGACTACTTTCAGACCTTCTCTCCCACCCCGAAGATGACCACTCTTCGGGTGTTGCTGCACATAGCCGCTCAGCGCGACTACGAGCTTCACTCTCTTGACATCAAAACTGCCTTCTTGCAGAGTAGCCTACACGAGGAGATCTTGCTGCGCCGCCCACCTGGCTTCACTGGGTCTTTTCCTCCTGGCACCCAGTGGGGCCTCCGGTGGCCAGTTTACGGTCTCCGCTAGGCACCGCATGAGTGGCACGACACACTGAGGACTACGCTTGCGGCTCTTGGGTTTGCTCCCTCTACTGCCGACCCGTCGCTGTTTCTGTGCACCGACACCTCTTTGCCGCCGTTCTACATCCTCGTGTACGTCGACGACTTGGTCTTTGCCACTGCTGACACTGCTCGACTCGCCCACGTGAAGTCCGAATTGTAGAAGAGACACACGTGCACAGACCTGGGTGAACTGCGTAGCTACATTGGCTTGCATATCGCCCGGGACAGAGCATGCCGCACCATTACCCTGACTCAGTCACACACGGTGCAGCAGGTCTTTCAGCGCTTTGGCTTCACGTACTCCTCGCCTCAGGCCACTCCTCTGTCTACTTGCCACTCGCTCTCAGCCTTGCCTTCGGATAAGTCCGTAGAGTCGACTGGCCCGTACCCAGAGCTTGTTGGCTGCCTCATGTACCTGATGACCTGCACATCACCTGACCTTGC